ACGTTTGAGGACCGTTCTGTGTATGAGGAGTTGCCATTTCTGCCACAAACCTACAAACAAAGTGATGTCAAAAGGATTCCGGCCATGCTTTTGAGGAAGTTTCCGTGGGGTTTCCGATTGGGTGCCCAACTTCCCGTTGCTTTCGTGTATTTGAAGCAGAAGAAATCCTTCAAGAAAGCCAGGAGCATCATCTCGTACAAGCAGTCGTTGATGGCACCTGTGTTGAAAGTTGCAGCGCTTGTTCTGAGTGAAGTCACCAAGGATGTGTTTCCGGACACGTTTGGTCGATTGAATTTGAGCACGCTGTGGCCAAATCTGCATAGGTTCATTGAGGATGTTGTGGCGCCTCTGCGTGAAACCAAAGAATTTCAAGTGGTGTGTGATGATCTTGTTGGGTTTTTCAATTCGCTTCCAATCGATCGTATTCTGAAAGCTGTGGAGTTGGTGTTTCTGACATATTTCGCACGCAGGCCGTCCCCTGATCCAGACAAGTTCATTTTCACTGTCCATGACAAGCAGAAGTTTTCGGAAGGTCGAGTGTTGAGAGGAAAACCACGGCTTTCTCGTAGTGCGATCATGAGACAAATGTCGGCGGGAGATGTGAAGGAAATTGTGAAGCTGTCCTTAAAATTGGCAAAGTTCACCATTCTGGGAAGGTGCTTCAAACAATGCCGGGGCTCCCCCATTGGGAATCAGATGTCGCCGGCTCTATGCGATCTAACCGTCAGTGTCGAGGAGGCCATGTGGATCAAAGGATGTCGGATCATGATGGACTCCCGCAGGTCGTTACGCTGGTTTGGTCGCTACGTTGACAATCGTTTCATGGTTTTTCCCAGGGAATTCCTTAGCGAGCAAAGCTTTCAAGATGTGGTGAGTCGTGATTTCTACCGTGACCCAGTGACACTTGAGCCATGTGATGCTGGGGAGTTGTTGGGGTGTGTCGTGGATATTACGGCGGGTATCGTGGAGTTTCGCATTCCAGAAGACGCATGGCAATACTGGCCTTTGAATAGTGCTGGCTCACGCAGATTGAACTTGGGGAGCTTTCGGTCTCGTTTGTGCTTGATCAAAAGACAAGCCTTTCCTAAGCACGTAGTTCGGAGACAACTTCGTGCGTTGAAAGATCGCTACCTTGCGATGGGTTTCACCATGCAGGATTTGAACAGCCGTGCCTGAT